TTTTTTTTTTTTTTTTTTAAGGGGGGAAAATCATCGAATGACTGCCCCCGCCTGGGTGAGGCGGGAGGGAGTGTCAGACTCTTACTGACTAAAAACCACCCCGTTCCTTCTCCTGCACGTCGAGCCGGAGCCCCGGTTACCCGTTAGGTTCTCCGCGACTCCGAATCGGCATCGGCCCTATTGGGCCCCATCTGTGGTGGTCTGATGGCTCTTTGAGGCGCGCGCGGAACGCGACGCGCCGTACGCTCGGGTCTGTTTCTGGTCGGACGGGGAGCCACCCATGCTCGCCGTCCGCAGGCCCGCGCTTACGGTGGCCGGAGATCGTCCCGCGATCCCCGACGCCCGGTGTGTCCTTCGCGATGGCTGGGTTGCGAGGAGGCAGCGCTTCGCTGCCTCACGCGTCCCGCCTCCTCCTTAGCTAGCATGACTGCTTCGCAAAAGGAGGAGACGGCATCCCAGTCCCCCTCGCTCCGCATCATGACCTGCACTAGGCCCGGACGCGAGAGGTCGCCATCGCCGATCACTTCCCTGAGGGCACGGCGGTGCTCAGCCCACGCAGGGCATTCCGCTAAGGTGTATTCCACCGTGTCCTCAGGGCGGTCATCGCAGTGATGACACCCGGGCGTTTCCTCCCGCCCCATCAGACACTGGTACCTCCCGAAACTTCCATGTCCAGTGAGGACAACGACTGTCACAACCGAGGGCTGAGAGAGATTGAGAGACGTTGAGAGACGCTACGGCCTCCTTACCTACCGCCTGACGCAGGTGCTTACTGGATACGAAAGTTTCGGTAGGTTCCTGTTTCGGATTGGGTGGGAGGAAACGCTCAGGTGTCATCATTGCGAGGGCCACCCTCTGGGTGATACTCTGGTACACGGTGGAGCATACCGTGGCAGTGTGCCCTGCATGGGCTGAACACCGCCGTGTCCTGAGGAATGTAATCGGTGATGGCGACCTCTCGCGGCCGACACTGGTTCAGACCATGGTACGGAGCGAGGGAGACTGGGATGCTGTCTCCTCCTTCTGCGAAACAGCCCTGCTAGCTAAGGAGGAGGCGGAGATCGTGAGGGAACGAGCATTCTCACGCTCCAGCCGTCATGAGTGACACTCCAGGCGTCGAGGATCACGAAACGTCTCGGGCCATCGTAAGCACGAGCCTGCGGTCGGCGAGCACGGATGACTCGCCGCCCGATCAGAACCAGACCCGAGCGTACGGCGCGTCGCGTTCCACAAGTGCCTCAAGGAGCCGTCAGACTACCGCAGATGGGGCCCCAATAGAGCTGATGCCGATACGGAGCCGCGGAGGACTTAACGGTTTACCGAGGCTCCGTCTCGAAGTGTAGGAGTAGAAACAGGGTGGTTTTTAGTCAGTAAGAGTATGAAACTCCCTCTCGCCTCACCTGGACGGAAAAGTCATTGGATTATTTTTCTCCCTCAAAAAAAAGGTATCATGAAATCTTTTGCGAAGCAGTCATGCTAGCTAAGGAGGAGGCGAAGCGCGTGAGGGAAAGAACCTCTTCACGACCCAGCCGCCGCGAGAGACACTCCGGGCGTCGGGGATCGCGAGAGTCCGACACTCCCTCCCGCCTCACCCGGGCGGGAAAAGTCATTGGATGATTTTCCCCCCTCAAAAAAAAGGTGATTTTCATGATACCTTTTTTTGAGGGAGAAAAATAATCCAATGACTTTTCCGTCCAGGTGAGGCGAGAGGGAGTTTCATACTCTTACTGACTAAAAATCACCCTGTTTCTACTCCTACACTTCGAGACGGAGCCTCGGTAAACCGTTAAGTCCTCCGCGGCTCCGTATCGGCATCAGCTCTATTGGGGCCCCATCTGCGGTAGTCTGACGGCTCCTTGAGGCACTTGTGGAACGCGACGCGCCGTACGCTCGGGTCTGGTTCTGATCGGGCGGCGAGTCATCCGTGCTCGCCGACCGCAGGCTCGTGCTTACGATGGCCCGAGACGTTTCGTGATCCTCGACGCCTGGAGTGTCACTCATGACGGCTGGAGCGTGAGAATGCTCGTTCCCTCACGATCTCCGCCTCCTCCTTAGGTAGCAGGGCTGTTTCGCAGAAGGAGGAGACAGCATCCCAGTCTCCCTCGCTCCGTACCATGGTCTGAACCAGTGTCGGCCGCGAGAGGTCGCCATCACCGATTACATTCCTCAGGACACGGCGGTGTTCAGCCCATGCAGGGCACACTGCCACGGTATGCTCCACCGTGTACCAGAGTATCACCCAGAGGGTGGCCCTCGCAATGATGACACCTGAGCGTTTCCTCCCACCCAATCCGAAACAGGAACCTACCGAAACTTTCGTATCCAGTAAGCACCTGCGTCAGGCGGTAGGTAAGGAGGCCGTAGCGTCTCTCAACGTCTCTCAATCTCTCTCAGCCCTCGGTTGTGACAGTCGTTGTCCTCACTGGACATGGAAGTTTCGGGAGGTACCAGTGTCTGATGGGGCGGGAGGAAACGCCCGGGTGTCATCACTGCGAGGACCGCCCTGAGGACACGGTGGAACACACCATAGCGGAATGCCCTGCGTGGGCTGAGCACCGCCGTGCCCGCAGGGAAGTGATCGGCGATGGCGACCTCTCGCGTCCGGGCCTAGTGCAGGTCATGATGCGGAGCGAGGGGGACTGGGATGCCGTCTCCTCCTTTTGCGAAGCAGTCATGCTAGCTAAGGAGGAGGCGGGACGCGTGAGGCAGCGAAGCGCTGCCTCCTCGCAACCCAGCCATCGCGAAGGACACACCGGGCGTC